GTTGACACACCACCGTAAGACACTTCCACAGCTTGTCTCAGTTCTTCAAGGAATGGAGCAAGTTGCTTTTCTAGGCTCACAGTCAGTCCTGTATTGGCACTGCTGCTGGCTATGAAACTCACCACCAAAGGTAGACGATTAAATTGAACCACGTGGTAAGTGTTATAGTAACAGATAGTACTTGTGTTGACTGAGAGTCCAAGTTTGCTGCCTTGGGCCGTTGCAGCAGCACAGGTAGACAAGCAGACAGGTGTCCGACCCTGCTCTGGAACGTGATCATTGGTCGCTCTAATAACAGGCACTCCAACTCCCAGAACAATCGCGAGGAGTCCCTCAACACTTGGCAACTTTTTTATACAAGAATATCTTCAGGTTGTCCGCCGTGATGAACCCCCTTCCCCCGCAGGATCAGTGTTCACCCCTGCACTTTTCTCCCGGATGCCAGGGCGTTCTGGGCTGTCACTTTAGGGACAACCTCAGAGTCCGTTTACACTGCAAACAGCTGTCACCTGACCTGCGGCCAACTTTGACGTTTTGATCTGGAATTCTGCAGCCTTGCTGAAAATGGATTTTAGTTCGACTGACTCTGGATAGGGAGCTCTGGTAGCCTAATGGTAAAGTGCTTTACTGCCAATGTGAAGGTACGTGGTTCGAATCCACCAGCTGCTCAGTGAAAGAATAAGAAATATTCTCCTTCTGTACAGTTTATCAGCAACAGCTGTCTTGCCTTTAGGTATTTCCTTTTTAAAAAGTGTTGTTTATTTTTATTTTTATTTTTGTGTGTGTGTACCATCAAATCAGATCTGACTGGTGCAGGAGGAGATTGTCCCTCCCTCGCCAGCAGAGCATCTGGTAGATTTGAACCACACGCCTCTGGGATTGCAGTTCAACTTCTTGCCACTAGGCCACTAGAATTCCCTAGGTAATTCCTTAACTGAAATACAGTTTTCCTCCTTTCTCTTCAGGCCAAGTACCTTCTCTTTCTTTTTCTTGCCTAATTGCCAAGAGGGAACTTTTTGAACAGAGGCTTTGAGCAGTCCGAGATGAGACAGTCTCATCTTCATGGGCCCTCCGTGTCCCATTTGGCAGGAGAATATTTATTTTTGCAGGTCCACCCAAAACCAGAGGCACTGCCTACCTCTCCTAAGACCCCAGCCATGGGGGTCAGGTGGTGTTTCCTGTACTCTGTGGCTTCTTGTGGTTACTGATCTTGTGCTGTGCCGTGTGCTCCCTGCAGCCCCATCTCCCTCAACATCTCTCCAAGGCAGGGACCACCTCCCAGTCCTGTGACTGTGGGGTGCTGGCACCCAGCTGGGTACCTCAGAAATGACCAGTGCACTTGGTCAGTTGAAACAGCTTCACAGAATCCTGGTTCAGACAGTTCTGACATCTGCGGTGCAGAGAGAGGGCTGGGTGGGATGGCATCCACAAAGGAGGCAGCCAGCAGTACCTGCTGGCCAGGCCCCACAGCGACCAAGTGTGCGCTCCGGAAGACACCGGGAGGCTGAAGAAGCAGAAGCATCAGGTTTGAGTGAGAGGGGTGCTCTCCTGTGAAATCCCAGTCACCCGTTACTGGCCACAGGAGGGGACACTCACTGATGGAACAGACTCTTCAGGAGGCAGTTTGGCCGCGCTGATGGTCTGGGCCTTGTCATCTTATCTAGTCGGGGTTGGGTTGTTCTCCTGCATGTCCTCAGTGCTGTGTGCCCTGGGAGTGCTCTTTCAGAATCTTACGTTTGAAGAAAGGGACACAGTCTGTCTTCATAATGATCACAACTTAACCACATTCAGACTGCTGGGGCCTCAAATTTACCAGCAGCTCTGAGGGAGGAAAATGGGCAATCCCCTCTTGTATGATTGGTGGTGGTGGGTTCCATTAAGTCAAAACCAACCCATAGTTGACCCTCCAGCAGGTTTTTAGAGGCAGTAAATCACATGGGAGGAGATTGTGCAACCTTCTTTTGCACAGCAGCTGGTGGATTTGAACCACATGCCTTTAAGTTTGCAGTGCAGTTTCTTACCACTAGGCTGTGATTAACAGCCTCAAATCCAGTGGAAGGTCAGCTAGGAGTTGGTTCAGACTGGAGGGCAGTGAGTTGAGTAACAGAGCTCCACCAGACCAATTTACATGTTGTTCTTGTTGTTATGTATCATAGAGTCAGAACCAGCCCATAGCTGACCCTCCAGGAGGTTTTCAGAGGCACTTAATTACACAGGTGGCCATTGCCCATCCCTCTCCCACAGAGCAGTCAGTGGTTTCGAACCTTGTCCCTTTGGGATTGCAGCACAGCTTCTTGTCAGTACTGTAACAGCACCAACCCCATAATAGATGGTAGTGTTCCATGCCTCCAGTTCTCACACCCAGTGACCCCTCGGACCACACCCCCAGACGCTGCCTGGCCCCCCGTCCTCAAGTTCACTGCTCTGCTCAAGTCCCTTGTCACACAGTGGACTTGGCACATTGAGAGATGTGGCTTACATACCGTACAATTCACCCCTGAAGGATGCCTGCTCAGTCTGGTATGTTCATCAGGGACCTGGGGAAGTCTGCTACCGACCCCTGAAATCCCCTGCCCCACAGCCTGGCAGCCCCACTGCTGTCCACCTGCATGAACGTGCCTGCTCTGGACAGTCCCTTTCTGGGTCACTGTCACTGGGTGCATTTGGGGGACATGGGTGGCCCTGTGGGACTCCATTACTGAGCTCAACTGGAGAGTGGCGATGTACAGTCCGGCTAGGCTGAGTGTAAGCACTGGTGGCTGCTGCTGTCATGGGACAGCCCAGGGACCTGCCAGCCACGGGCTTTCAGTGCTGTCAGGACAGGCCGCCTTGGGGCACTGGGCCACCTTTCGTGGCCATGTTTCTCTCTGGGATCTGTAGTCACATGGGGCCCAGGACAACACTCCTGCTGGTGCTGCAGGAGGACACTGTGAGCTGAGCCAAGTTCTACCTCATGTGTCAAAGGAGGATTCACTCCAAAAAACTAACATTGCTCATCACACACTGGGGTGTGTCCAGCATCCGAAGCATGGGGACAGAGGAGTGCACAAAGGTCATGAATCGATGACAGAAGTGGGAGTGAGGCTAGGAGAGAGGGATCGGGGAGCTGACCTGTGCTCTGGCACTAGAACTTTCTGTGTGTTGGGAGCTTTCTAACCAAACAGATCAGAACTGGTATCGCAGGGAGTTTAATGTCTTTCCAAGGGAAAGTGGTGTTGACACTTCTGGAGTGAGGTGTGATAGGTGGGGTAGCCCAGCCAGCTGCCTGAGAAGGTAGAGAGTCCAGCATTGAGGGTGAGAGCACTTTCCAGGAGGGGGTAGATGGGGCATAGATGGGGGAGGGAGTTCAGGTGGCTGACAGGAGGCAGGTGCACTCCTGGCCCCCCATCTGCGCCCCTCCTCAGCGCAAGGCCGGCCTCCCTACCTCTCCAGTTGCTGGGACGGGTATGTGGCATTTTAGCAAACAGCTTTGATTAGTGTGCTCATAAAGGGTCATTAGCCTTTCGAGGTCATTTTGAAACCTCTTCTCTAATAGGTGAGTTTCTAGGAGGCCCCGCTTTGCACAGTAATGTGGTACTTTATGCCATGGGACACTGGCTTCCTCGCAGCAGGTCCTGCTGCCACTCTGGGCCTGCTACCCCAACCCAAGACACTGCTTCCCCCTGCTGCCTATAGAGGGAAGGGCCACGGCTGGGAGAGGTGACCGCATACCTGTCCTAGCTGGCAGGATCTCCGTCCCAGGCCTCACGGGGAAAGGCCAGGATGCCCAGGAGCGAGGGAATGTGGTTATTACAGAGGTGGACTGGGCATGAGCACCGCATCACCATGAGTGCTGCTGAATTGGAAGAAAATCCCTGGGCAGTTCAGCAGGTGTATCGCCATCTGGTGTGAGAACGAAGGGGCGGTCAGAGCCCGTGTGGAGATGTCCGTGCTGCGGCCCGAGGGGCCTGCCGGGCACCTGTGCAATGATTCCAGCCCCTGACCGACCCTACCTGCCCCGTGGGTCCCTCTCTTCTGCTGACTGAGGTGTGTGCACGTGGGAGCAGGGCCGACGGGGTGGTAGAGCGGGGCTGCAGCACCCTGCGATGTGCCGGGCAGCTGGGCAGAGGGCTGGAGCAGACAGAGGTGTGGCCCCCTGTGCCAGTGCATCTTAACGTTGTCCAGCACCCAGAGCTTGTGATTGTGAGAGACACTGACGGTGGGAAACCCAGACTGAAGACAAGTGTAACAGCAAAGCCAACAACCCTTTACCCCTCTGTTGGAAGCTGTTTACTTTTGCAGCATATAAATGTTAATAAATATTTAGGATCATTAATCAGCTTACTGATGCATATGTATTAACGCATGGCGTGGCTTCACTTAAGCTGTCGCTTCTCATGCACCTCTTTCCCATCCTTCACGCCCTGTGTGATTCATCTCTCTCTCTTGGGGTCCCTCTGTCCTGGCTGCTCAGCATGGAGTCCTCCTGGTGGCCTGTCCTTGGAGGTGGGGACCGGTGTAGTAGCACTGCCGTTAAATGACATCTGGACCTTCAGGGTGGGATGTTGCGTGTGCTCCTGCATCCAAGCCCCCACAGTAAGGGTAACAGCAATGTGGATTTGGCTAAGGACCCTCATTGCTTAGCCAGGACCAGAGGGGGTGAGTGGACCATAAGTGACAGCAGCAAAGTGGCCATCCAGTTGTGAGAGGGAACTTCTGAAGAGCTCTGAGCAGACAAGGGACAGTGGTGTGTGGGCAAGGGGCAGCAGTGTCTAGGTGAGGGATAGCAGAGTCTGGACAAGGGACAGGGGCATCTGCACGAGGTACAGTGGCATCTGCACAAGGGACAGTGGCATGTGGACGAGGGGCAGGGGTGTCTGAATAAGGGATGGTGGCATCTGCGCTAGGGACAGTGGCATCTGGATGGGGAGAAGCATGGGACACATTGGTGCGGCTGGCTCCTGTCAGGAGGAGATGTGGCAAGCAGTGTCCCCCCATCTCACAGCCGTTTCTTCCCGCAGACGTCCTCCTTCCCACGATGGAGTCCAGTAAGAAGATGGATGCCCCGGGGTCCCTGCAGACCAACCCGCTGCTGAAGCTGACTGACCGCAGTGCTGGGGCAGCCGTGTTTGTCCCCGAGCAAGGGGGCTACAAGGAGAAGTTCGTGAAGGCTGTGGAGGACAAGTACAAGTGTGAGAAGTGCCGCCTCGTTCTGTGCAGCCCGAGGCAGACCGAGTGCGGACACCGGTTCTGCGAGACCTGCATGGCCGCCCTGCTGAGGTGGGGCCCCAGCGGCTGTGCCCGCCTCCCACACCCACCCCTGTGCTCACTCATTTCTCTCAAAAATCCCTCTAAAGATCGGAAGCCCTGAAGAGGTCTGAATACAATGTTCAGACTAGCAAGCCGTTTAGAACTCAGGAGGAGCCGTGTGTGAGCCTGGGGAGGGTCCCTGGACATGGAGAAGGGGACACTCCTCCTCTGACGCCTCCAGGCCCTCCACCTGATGCTGGCTCCCCCACCCCCACTGTCATCCTCAGCCTGTCCTGCAGCTGCCCGGGCCTCCTCGAGGACTGTTCTCAGACCCTGTCCTCTGGGACCTCTGGGACTGCTCGGCCCTTGAGGAGCAGGTCTGGCATAGGCTTTCAGAGTAGATTATACTCCACGGGGTATGCAGCGGCTGATTTTTTTTTTTTTAGGTAGCGCATCAGGCCTTTCTACAGGTGCCTCTGGGTGGATATGAACCTCTTGACCTTGTGGTTAGTAGCCCAACGCATTAAGCACTTGCACCCCCTCAGGGTTCCACGTGAGTTCCATGCTAGCATGGAAAGTGAGTTAACTTCCCAGCCCTCAGTCAGCCCTCACCTGCGTTCCCAGGTGTCTGGAGCTGAGAGACCCCTCTGCCACAGCCCTTCCTCATACACCTGTGCCCACTGGTGCTCAGGACTCGCTGCCCGTACCCCTTGGCCTCCCTCGGCTCTGAGGCTGAGCCGAGTGGCAGTTTGGAGGTGGCAAGGGCTCCCATCTCATTGTTATTTCTGATCTCTCGGAGGTGGTTTCCAGACGAGGGGGATGGCTCAGAGCCAAGACCAGACAAGAACAGCTTGAGAGAAGCAGGTTGTGTCCCAAGTTTAGGGACAAGAATGACAGAGGAGCCTGGTGGTTTCCTTAGACAGGCCAGTTTCAAATTCCTGCGGTGTTGACAGTCTGGAATTGCATTCACATTTTTAATAGATGGTTAAAAAAATGCTTGTGGGTAAAGTATTGGCTATTTTTAAAAAGACGAGCACTCCAGGACTCTTCTAATGAATGTAACTGCTGTACAACCCATCCGCAGACAACTTGTTTTGATTTCTGAGATAAAATTTCACTTTTATTTTAATGGAAAGGGGCTTTCCAAGGGGGACTGGACTAAACTGCACTGCTTACCAACTTCCTCCAGAAAAGGTTCCTTTGTTGTTCATTCAGCCCTTTCCTCCCAGGGCTTCTGTGCAGACCAGCCCCACCGTGGCCCACAGACGCTCCGGCTGCTCAGAGCTCCACACAGCCACCTGCACCATGAACTTGAGCTGAGAAGCCTGCTGTATCTGGTGGTTCCACATCAAACGGGCCCCTGTGCTAACATGTCCTTGTGTTTCTTCCGCAGCACCCCCAGTCCAAAGTGCACGGCGTGTCAAGAAAGCATCGTTAAAGAGAAGGTACTCCTGATTTCTGTCCATTTTGCTGCCTGTTTTAAGCTGGATGGTGCTCTCTTAGGATGTGTCCTTGCGCCCTGGCACTCTGACCTCACCGGGGTGTTGACAGCTGACCACACCCGGCAGGTGGCTAAGGGTTCAAATCCACATCAGGATGGATCATTCCCCCTCATTCTGAGACCACAGGCAGCTTCCATCTCCCGTTACACACCACCTCATGGACCTGTGGGCAGTTGTGAGGGTAGAAGTGTGTGTGTGTGTGTATGTGTCAGTGACACATGTCCAAAGTGTGCCCATCTGAGCAATTCTGAGCAGTTCTTCTTTCCTTGTCCCCCAAACAATAGCTCTAAATCATCCGCACACCAATTACCCTTGAATTGGAACTGACTTAACAGTTGACCCTCTGGCAAGTTTTCACAGGTGGTAATAAATTGCATCAGAAGAGATTGCCCATCTTTCTCCTATGGAGCAGATAGTGAATTTGAACAGCACACTTCTGGGTTGGCAGCTTGATTCTCTACCCACTCAGCCACCAGAGCTCCATCTAAATCATTGCTGCTATTTGTTGTTAGGTGTCAGGTCGCGTACAACCTATCGTGACCCTTTGAACAACAGATCTTAACCCTGTCCTATCTTGTGCCATCTTCACACTTCCTGACACGCTAGAACCTGTTGCAGCAGTCACCATGTCAGTCCACCTGGTTGAGGGTCTTCCTCCCCTTCGCCAACCCTCTACCTTTCCAGTCATGTCCTTCTCCAAGGAATAGCCCCTCCTAGCAACATGCCCAAAGTATGTGACGTAGCCTTGTCATCTTTGCCTCCAAAGAGCACTCTGACTGCACCCACTCCAGGCCATATCTGTTCTTTCTCTTGGCCGTCAATGGGATGCTCAGTGCTCTTCTCCAACACCACAGCTCAAAGGAGTCAATAATTTTTCTATTATAATCCTTATTCATCGTCCAACTGGACAGTGAGTAAATCTCAATGAGTAGATGTGAAATTTCAGCCCCTCCATGCACACACATATATAGGATATACATACACGTGATATACACACATAGTACACAGTACAACACACGTGCGTGCACAGGTGCGGCTGCACACACGAGGTGTGTACACGTATGGACGTGTGCGTCGACAAATGCAGGTCTACACTGTGTGCACACAGCCTCCGGGGCATGACTGCAGACCCAGGGCAGGAGGACATTTCCAGCCAGCCCTGACCTCTGACAGGGCTCTCAGGGTCTGTCTGTCCTACCCGGCACTCACTGTGTTTGAAAGACTCATTCTTAAACTGCTGGAAAGATCCATGTACCTCTATACTCTGATAGCTGGCTCTCCCCATTGTTTAAATGTAAATCACCACCTTTTGTAATGGAATTCTTGCTCCAGGCTCCTTACACACTGGGTTTGTCTACCAGGTGAGTGGGATGAGACGATGGCACCTGCCCTCCTGGCTTCGATCGGGACTGTCACCTGTCCACGAGCCTTCACCCATCTGCCGGTGAAGGTTACCATTCCAACAGAGGAAAGTGTTTCCAAGAATAGTCACTCCACTATGCTGCTTAGTTTCCTGCCAGGGGACTGCAAGAAACCTGGGACAGAGGGCAGAGAGGGTTGGTGGAGTCCCTCTGTATTTGTCATTCAGAGATACGGTCCCTGTTCCCCAGTGGCATTGATGGCTGAGGAATAGACTTCAGTTTTGTTGATGAATTCAGAGATTGATAGCACAGCGAGACAGAGAGGGGCCACATCGGAGCCCAGACTCCTCACCTAGAAAGTGGGGCAGCTGCTTTGGGGTCTTTCAGCTTCTGAAATTCTGTTCTTTCATTATGCTGCGCTTCTCAACTAATGATGTGTTGTTGTTTATCTTGTCATTGTTGTTATGTACCGTTTAGTTGCTGACCTTCTAGCGGATTTTCAGAGGCAGTAAACCATGGCAGGAGATGGCCCATCTCTCTCCTGTGGAGCTTGGGGGTTTGAACTATGTGCCTTTGAGTTGGCAACATAATTCCTCACCACTGACCCCCCACAAAAAGGATTGACACAGTGACTGCAGCAGTGGGCTCCAGGGTGTCGGAGGTTGTGAGGACAGCACGGGCCAGGCGGGGCTCAGGTCTAATTGTCCATACTGGGTCGCTGTGAGTGGTACTTTTTGGCACCTAACAACAACAACAAGCCAGCAGAGCTCCTGCAAATGACGTAACGGCGTGAAAAGGAACACATTTCTTAGTGGTTAAAAATGTGTCTTGTTGACTCTGGTACCTTAAATTTAAAAGTCATGTTTATGAAGTATTAGATTCCACTCCAAATTAGTTTATTCTTAACTCTTGACAGCTGCGGCTTCTATTTCTTTGCCTGTGGAGTTGAGGAAGGACTATTAGATCCTTGTCTGTTTTTCTTGTGTTGGAGTGTGGGCAGGTAGGCGTCTTTTGGAAGTGCCTGAGGACTGAGAGGTTGCAGGTTGTATCTTCAGAAAGAATAATGAAGAGTTTATATATTTTTCCAAGGGGAAAATAAAATAAAATTTATAAGTAGCAAGACTGTTTTCCAAGGGGAAAGCAAAATTAAATTAAAATGTAGCAAATATGTTTTCCAAGGGGAGAAGAAAATGAAATAAAGTCAGGAAGGTTTTCATTTGTAAAGAAGAGTATTTCTATTATGAGGGTAACCCTGGAGTTTTGTTTTTCCTTCTTTTGAGAGGAGAAAAAAGAACAATAAGCAACAGCACCTTAGCAGAACGCATGAGTATTTGACAAGCCATTCCTAAGACAGGCTCCTTGCCAGTAGCTCCTGTGTTCTTGGCTGGCATTCTAGAAGCCGAGATGGCTGCAACAGGCCCTGCCCTCTCCTAGCGGGACTGGGGACTCGCTCCCCCTGTGAGCCTGCTACCTACTGTGCCCTTGTTTTGAGATTATGCCAAAGTTAAGCTAAAATGTTTTGACTTCTTGAAATACACATTTCCTCTGGGCTCATCTCATCAAAGGGGGTAGTCCAAATCTGTTTAGATTATACCTTGTAGTGGGGCAGCGCCTTCATGCTCTTCGTTGCAATTAAGACGGTCCTCAGCGCTTCCTGAGGTCCACTTAAGAGCTGCACTTCTGACTTTCTTTAAAGTGGTTTTACTTGTCCAAAGTAGTAGCATGTGGAGATGAAGAAATATTAATCCTCTAAAATAACTATCTTTCCATTTCAGGTGTTTAAGGATAATTGCTGCAAGAGAGAGATCCTGGCCCTTCAGATCTACTGTCGCAATGAAAGCCGGGGCTGCGTGGAGCAGCTCACCCTGGGGCATCTGCTGGTAGGCGCTGCTGCAGGTTTACACTGAGAAATACGGCTTTGGGCCTTGGGCAGCCAGAGGGCTGGGTAGATTGAACAGGGTATCTAAACCACATCTGCATTGATCTTTCAGAACACCACCAGTGAAACCTGTCAGAACTACCTGGCCGTAGAATGTTGCCTTTTAGACACCAGTCTCTCATCATGAAGAATAAGCTCTCCCCATGAGGGCTCATGATCAAGCATAAGCATTTCCTGGGAGCTGGAAGCCAGAGGGCCTTCTACTCACCATATCTGAGAGCAGCCCGCCCCATGCCACTCTGCTTCTCTGCAGGGTTCAGTAATTCCTCACAGAGCCACTCAGAACTCATGAACTGTATTTAGAGTGAGAGGCTCTGGCGTGGGGCACACAGGCCAAGTGGGGAAGGCTCTCTCCTCCCATCCTTAGGCAGGAGAGCTTCCAGCTGGGACCACCTCCTCAGCCACTCTCTCTGTGGGCCTCTGGCGCACCCTTTCCCACCTTCAGCCTCCCCTCCTTGGCCTTTCCTCTGTAAAGGCCCCACTCACAGCCAGGGTAATAGCTTGCTCAGCTCCCACTTTCCTCCAAGCCAGCCAGCTCTGCTGCAGGGTCCTTGGGGGCCTCTCATCGTCCTCAGGGATGCAGCCCTTCACCCCTACTTTACCTCTCTCAGAAGAGAGTGGGTTTAGCCACTTTCATAAGCAAATTCCTTGTCAATTTCCTAGCATGGCCCTCTCAGCAGAAATGCCCAGCCCGCCAGTCCCCAGTGGGCTGCAAGGTAAGGTCCTTCAGGTGGATTTTCAAGCCACTGTTTGCATAGCCAGTTGACCAATCTTTGCAGAGAAGAGTCACATGGCTGATGGCAGTCAAGGACCCTGAAAACCTCAGACTACAAGTTGTTTGCAACTTATCTGGGGACTGTCTTTCAACCCAGAGAGTTCGCAGTAACATCTTCTCAGGTGTAGGAAAGCCAGGCGCCTCCTCCCCAGGTTACTTCTCCAGAGTATAGGGAAAGAGGCTTGAGGGGGGATTCTCCCCAACTGTTTTTCCAAAGAACCAAAGCAAAAATCCATATGAAAGGAACTCAGTTTGCGCAAACATCATTGACTGGCCTGTCATCTGGCTTTAAACACCTCACCCCGTACAGAATAAAAAAAGCTGAATTTAGCTTTAGTTTCGGAAACCCATTAGCAGCTTATTCTTCTTTTACCATGAAATTCTGTACTTTGTTAGGTTTTTCGAGGAGTCCCTTATTTTATCGTGGAAGGCTCAGTTGGAACACCACCAGGCATTTGGAGGCTACCTCTCTCCCGACCCAAGAGAAAGCGTTGACTGGCTCTTTCCAAAGCAGTCAAGTTCAAGTCACCACTAATCACAGCCTTTGGCTCTGTCTCTCCACATGCTTGTCACTTCCCGATGTGGAGAGCTCGTCAAGTGGCAGATTAGAAGCTTGTCTGTCAGTTGTAATGTCCACAGGTTAGAGGCTAGTGTTTCAGATTGAAGTTTTGCCGAGTGAGAATTCGGAATCCTCTGTCCCTCAGGTACATTTAAAAAACGACTGCCAGTTTGAAGAACTTCCGTGCATCCGCACTGACTGCAAGGAAAAGGTTCTGAGGAAGGACCTCCGCGACCACGTGGAGAAGGCCTGTAAATACCGCGAGGCCACGTGCAACCACTGCAAAAGCCAGGTCCCCATGATCACCTTACAGGTGCGGTGCTGTCAGCATGCTCGTCCCTACACCTGCTCTGTCCTCCGCGCCCCGCCACCGCGTCCCTCCACCGCTCCCTGTCCCGTTCTCCTTGCCCTGCCACCGAACTCCTCCCCTGCGCCCCTACCACCTTTCTCCTCCACCACCCCCTGTCCTCCTTGCCCGCCACCCCACCCCTACACCTCACTTGTCACCGCTCCACTACTCACCTCACTCCTCTGCTTCTACCCATCCACCTCACCCCTGCCACCTCTCCCCCTTCCACCTCATTCCTCACCTCTCCCCTTACGTCTCACCTCTGCCACCTCTACCCGTCCTCCTCACCCGTCACCTCACCCACATCCACATCTCCCCTTGACCTCGCCTGTCACCTCTCCTTCATCCACCTCACCTCCATTTATCTCACTTCTCCAGCTCATCCCTGTCACCCCCACCTCGGCCCTACCACCCGTCCACCTCTCCCCTCACCTCCTCCGCATCCACCCACCCCTCTAGTTCACCCCACCACCTCTTCCCGTCCGCCTCCCCCGTCCATCTCTCCTCTGCCACCTCTCTACCAAATAGCTTTTTACGTCACTATTTTAGCAGGAACAGAGAAAAAACATGAGACTAGTAGCTGTTTCTGTCTGACTCCATTTCACAGTGGAGTTTTATCTGTTTTTCACTGTTTTGGTCTATGCCATTGGCATTCCCAGTTCATGATTGAATACCATTGGGGAGAATCAGAGAACTGAAGACTAATTACCAAACTATGTCCTTTCCACATGTCCCAGGGAGTGGCCTGGCCAGTGCTGCTGGGCGCCTCAAGCTGCTGCCCCTCTGGACCATAGTGTTCAGAGACAGAATGTCGTGGAGGAGATGGGCTTTTAGGGCTACACTGGCTGCGTTATTGGGGCGGCAGTCAGGATCCAGTTAGGAACGCTTGCAGGTGAAGGGAAAGGGAGCGAGTGTGGGGGACGGGCATTTACAGCAGCTGCCCTGCTGTGGGGGCACTCCGTGTTTGTCTGCTCACTGCAGATACTTACCGTGCTGACCACGTGCTAGGCCCTGACCCAGGAGCTGCCCTCAGAGGGACAGTGACGCCTAGCTGCAGTGGGGAGAGGCAATTAGCATTTAGCGTTTACTGCTAGCAAAGACCTCGCTTACCCAAAGAAGTATGGTTTTAAGCAGAAAAAATCCTTCAACTCTGCATCTTTGCAGAAAAAATGAGAAACAAATCCTAAATTCCATCGTGTACAAACACCTAACACCGGATGGTAAGCACCGTGAGGAGAGGTGACCCTGTGTCAGAGGTCGGAGGAGGCCCAGGGCCTCTGTAGGCCCGTCAGCCTCCATCTGTTGAACATCACTGGGGAGGACCACTCTAGCAGAGGGATTGACCTGCGTGGTTCTTCCAGGAGAGCCTGTGGGGCTCTGAGCAGAGGAGAGGGCAGAGGGGTGGCCTGGCCAGAAGGCAGAGCCATCCAGGGGGGTGCATCACCTGTCAGGCACAGGAACAGGTTGTAGGGGGGGTAAAAGGTGGGAGGAGAGGAGAGGACCAAATGTGCTGGTGTCCATGGTGACAGTGGAGCCAATCAGATTGGCCTTTGGCGTGAATATGGTGTACAAGAAACAGCAAACTTGAGAAGCAGCCTGGGGGGAATTGATGAAATGATAATATTGGTAGTTCAGTTAGCAGATAGGAACAGGATATGTACAGCTGTTCAGACAAGAAAGGGAGAGGAAGGAGGAGGAGGGGGCACCCCAGCTCAGCAGAGATGGTGGATCGATAGTGGCCTGTGAAGGAGTAGACAGGGCGCAGTGGGATTTGACGAGCAAGGCATTGCTCAATAGTAATTAATCATATGAAACACAGTATACATGAGTGGAACTCCGTGTATATGAAGAATTGTATGAAAAAGCAATTAGAAAAAGTACCCAAAACAAAGACACCACAGAGCTGAGGATGATGCCTAGCGTTCTCTGGGTCCCGGATGACAGGGTGCTCCCCGAGGAGAGCCTGTGGAGGAGGGCAGGCTGAAGGAGCACTGAGGTAGCTGTTCACCAGCCTCAGGCCTGCAGTGGTCCAGCCTCAGGGCAGAGGTAACAGGTGGAGTGAGTGAGGAGAAGCGACACCTGGAGACGTACCATGCCAGGGGGTCATCCAGCCAAGGTGGGGCCAGGAAGGCAAAAAGGGTCAAGGCAGGGGTCTCTGATGCAGGTCGCAGCAACTCCTGAAGGCCATGAGCTGGAAGGAGGGGCTCCGGAGTACAGCCAGGAAATGCCGCCACTGCCCGGTGTCTGGGGAGCTGTGGGACAGCTTGGGAACTGACCCTGATAAAGCTTCATCTCTGCTTCTCTGTGAAATGAGACGTTCTCTCTGTGTAATCTCTCTGGTTCCTTACACTATAGCTTCCCCGTGCCTGGGACTTTTACTCCATTGTGAATTCATTCTCCTATATAATACAGACATTTCTCTGAGTTACTGGTGGCGCAGTGGTAAGAAGCTGCACTGCAATCCCAAGGCATGCAGTTTGAATCCACCAGCTGCTCCACTGGAGAACAGACAGTCTCTTCCCATGCGATTCACTGCCTCTGAAAACCTGCTGGACGGTCAGCTATGAGTCCGTTGCCGCTCGATGGTCTACATCTTACTAAGAACTTCTCTTTCATTTCTTTTTTAAATTTTTATTTGAGTATGCAAAGCAAATTGATTTTCCATCTCACCATTCATACCGGTTATTCATAACATTAATTTACAGTTTGCACAGTGTGACCCAGGAGTGGCATCCACTTCCTAAATCACGTGCCTCTGGAAACTCTGTGAACTTCGATCAATGTCGATAGTTGTAGAGGGGCTTTCTGTTCATAGGGTCACCATGGGTCATGCTCGACTCAGTGGCAGTCAACAACAGTGTGATCACACTCTCCCACTCCCTTCCTGTAGTTCAGCTTCCATTAATCCTTCTGACCCACCCCGTCTGCTTTCTGGGCTTTAACCCTGGGCAGATGCTGCTGTTTTGACCTTCTGTGGTTGGTGGTTCTAAGGAATGAGTGCCTTCCCGATGGTGGAGCTCGCCCTGTAGGCCCATCTGTCCTTTGATTAGAGGTGAGCCCTAGGAATGAGAACTGTTAGGTTTGAAAGGAGAGCAAGAGCCGGAGTGTCAGGGCTCCGTCAGCCTGTCTTGGACCTGTAAGCCTGACCTTGTTATTTTTTGAGATCTGTTCCGTTGACTTCCCACCCCTCATGGTTCCTGTCAGCCTGGTGGTGGCTTCAGTGGTGACCCAGCCCCATCTAGCCTCTGGTCTCAGGGTCATAACTGTTGGTCTGTGGGTTCTGTGGTCATCTGTCCTTTGTACTGATTGCTTGCCTACAGCTTTGCTTTTCTTCCCTCATCTCTGTTCCAGACAAGGCGTGACTGATACTGGACCTTAGATGACTATTCAGATGGGTTCAAGGCCCCAGCCCACTTATTAAGAACTTTCACATCTAGGCTTTTCCCTTTGAAAACAGCAGTAACATTTACCATAATCAAGGCGCCCTGAGCTACAGTGGTTAAGCCCTCAGCTGCTAAGCAGTATGTTGACAGTTCAAACCCACTAGCAGTTCCTAGGGAGAAGGATGCGTCAGTGAGTCTCTGTAAAGATTTACCATCTAGCCAACCCTGTGAGGACTCTGTGCTGTCTTTATAGGTCTCTATGGTTCAGAGTCAACTCGACAGCAGTGGGTTTGTCATTTGATTTCTTTGCCATAATTGAGTAATTCCTTCAATTACTAGATTCAGGTGAAGGACACATAGGCCCAGTGGACACTTCCCAACCTTACACGTTGTTGCTGTCGAGTATGACTCACAGTGACCCTGTGAACAACAGATGTGAACGCTGGCCTCTCCTGTGCCATCCTCATCGTCTCCGACATGCCTGAGCCCTTCACCGCAGTCACTGTGTCCGTCCACCTGGTTGAAGGTCTTCCTCTCTTCACCGACCCTTCACCTTTCCAACTGTGATGTCCTCCAAAGAGTAGCCTCTCCCAGCATCCTGCCCAAAGTATGTGAGACGAACCTTTGTCGTCTTCGCCTCCAAGAAGCACTCTGGCTACCCTTTGCCCAAGACATATGTCTTGGTTCTTTTGGCAGTCCATGGGGTATTCAGTACTCTTCTCTGATACCACAAAGCAAAGGCATCAGTTCTGCTGTCATGCTTATTCATTGTCCAGCTCTCATGTATAGTCAGGGATTGAAAAGACCGTGGCCTGAATCAAGTGCACCTTAGTCTTGAATCGACATCGTTCATCATTATGCAGTTATTTGAAACAGTCCCTGACAATATTGGCTTGCCCGCTACATCTCCTGACTGTTGGTACCAAGGGTCTTGATTGTGGATCCAAATAAGAGAAACCATTGAGTTTCAGTCCTTTTTCCATCCGTCCTGATGTTACTTATCAGTCCAGCGGTGAGGACCTTTTGTCTTCTTGATCTTGACACGCAGCCCATATTGAAGGCTGTATTCTTTGATCTTCTTTAGCAAGGATTTGTAATTGGTACATACTTTGCTTCTTGCAAAAATCGTTAGCCTCTGTCTGGAGAACAGAATCCAGGAATTCATTTCCATCTGAGAAGGCATACAGAGCGTGCCTGTTAGCGGCCACTTAAATGACTGGTTCTGGGCCCAGAAAGAACGTGCAGAATCTGGCTTTAAAATGCCAGCACAGCTCATGTGTTCACCAGGCAGCCAGCGATACCAGCTGGCACCAGGCTTGTGCCAGAACTCCGGAGCGAACAGCACAGTCTCCCATCAGACTGCAGCCGAGGCAGGAGACAGCCAGCTGAACAAGGAAATGCTGGACCTACCTTCCGGCAAAGAGCCAGCAGGACGCTGCTTTCTGTCATGTGATGGGATCAGTGAAGGCTCCGGTAGGGAGGGAACTTTGACCTGGATCTCAGAGGGTCAGCTAGAGAAGGAGGCCAGCAGGCGTGAGCGCATGGGAGGACAGCAGATGTGGAGGCCTGAGCCGTATGAATGAAGAGTAAATAATCCTGTGATGAAAAATATTTTTGTTGCTTCAGCATCCTCAATACTGTTGTTGTTGTAGTGTGCTGTAGAGTCGGAACCTTCCAGCAAGTTTCCAGAGGCAGTAAATCGCACAGGAGGAGATTGCCCATCCTGCTCCCACAGAGCAGCTGGTGGAGTCAAACCATTTGCCTGTGAGATTACAGTGCAGCTTCCTAGCACTAGGCCAGCAGAGCTTCTGCCTTGATTCTAGTAAACGCCGTAAGCCGTGAGCCCCTTCCTCTCGGGCCTGGCGTGACTGCAGTCAGCACCCTGAACTGGCAAGGCAGTCAGATACTCACTGTCTCTTGTGCCGAGAAACTTCCTGGGCTGCCCACCCTGTGGGCAGTGGGAGGGCTTCCCTGGTCATTGGTTCTCAGATCTGACTGAGGTGCGTGGTCCAGTCTCAGCAGCCAGGACGCTGCAGGCCACTCTGGCTGTCCAACCTCTCCCATCATGTAGCAGGTCAGACGGGCCGGGTTACCAAGACAATTGATGAGGCAGTGACACTCAGCTCACCATGGTTTATTTGAGAATTTCCATGTGATACTTAAACAGTTTTTTTAAACCTTTAGATCAATGTAATATTAATAGTCTCAGACACACACACACACACACAAATCCTCTCTTGCAATTAATCTAGAAATTATCGTATATCAATGCCTTTAAACACTTGGATTGATTTTGTGAAAAGCCAGAGCTATAAAGATCCGTGTCGGGGGAAAGGGACCCATTGGGCTGCGATGTGTACAGGCAGGCAGTGGTCTGTGGGTCCTCTCGGTCAGCACCTCGCTGGACTCATTAGAGAAGTGTGCACACCCCACCAGTAATCGTACCCCAGCCCTGCACAGCAGTGGAATGCAGCCACTGCTAACCTGTGCTCGGCACTCCCGCAGGCCGTGGCAGTGGTGACGTAGCTGTCAGATCCACGTGGGGACACCAGGTGTGGGGGCCCAAGACGTTGCTGTGTTCCCACGTTATCACTGTCCCTTCTCTCCCACAGAAACATGAGGACACAGAGTGCCCCTGTGTGGTGGTCTCATGCCCCCATAAGTGCAGTGTCCAGACGCTTCTGAGGAGCGAGGTAAGAGCTGCGGTCACTGCCTGCCTATTGTGGTGTGGGGCTTTGGGATGGGGGGCCCAGGTCCAGTCCCCTAGAGCTGAAATCTGACAGCAAGGAATGTGCAGAGAGATCCTTGTGTGTGTTTTGGAAGCAAGCAATTAAAGAATGTTTCTAAGAATAAAGAAAATGGGACCCCCCATTAGCTATGATGCAAGCAAAGATGACATTTTCTACATAAAATATTTTTAAAGTCATATAAACCTATAAGGTGGGGCATTATGACAAGATTATATCAGGAGAATAACTACACATAGAGCCTCCCAGGCCTGTCAGGGTGTGTGTGAGAGCAGACGGCAGGAGACTGGGGGCCTGGGCTAAGCCCACACCTCCCTCAGCACTCTGTGGAGACAGCCCGACCAGGTGGGCTTCACCTGCTCAGAAAAGACCCTGATCCGGGCTGGTGTCCCTGCTGTGACTGTGGCGGGGCTTCCTAGGCCCTCAGCCCGTGGTGCACCTTGCCTCGCCCCGTCTTTCCACCAGGCCACGATTTCGCTGGATATTGGGGACAAGGCAAGAGACCTTGGGGCTTGAGCAGTCTGCTGTCCCCAGCTGAGATAGAGAGTGACTGTATGGTCAAAACCAGGGCATAGATGGGGAGCCCCCATTGCTGGCACTGGTGGGTGAGACCTTGTTACTGCACCCCACCCCTGGCCCCATCCACTCGATTTTGGCCCCCAGCCGTGCAGAGTCTCTGCCATGGCAGCTCAAGTGTGAAGGGGCTGTGCTGCTGACGTTCCTGCAGCATTTTAGACACTCTTCAAATTTTTATCCCTCAGGGTGACCCAAACTGAGAGCAAGGTGTGCCTCTGTTTTGTCTCATTTTGTTTAAGAAAAAAAAAAAGATCTTTAAACATGTGTTTATCATGGGGAGTAGAAACAGGGTAAGAAGTGAGCATAAACCTTCCCTGTGCCCCGGAGTGACCACAGCAGGCCCATCCCAGTCCCAGGACCTAGAGAGATGCTGTGGGAACTAGCGGCACCCTCCTGGGTGGCCACCCCCACGTGCCCATTCCCAGGAAAGCACAGAGGCTCCCAGCATGGGCCCCCCGGGCTGTGCAGGGCCTGGAGCTTCCTGAAGAGAGCTCCTCGTTGAGGAAAGGGCTGGGCCCATGTATAAGCAGGGCTGTAAGACTCTGATACCCCAGCCCCCTGCCTTCCTCCAGAGCGGTTCTCCGTGGCCAGTGCACTGGGGCTTTGCCTGCAGGAAGGTCCTCTCCCATCCCCGCTCCGCCCAGCTGTAAGAGCCCCAGCCTTGGGACCTGGGAGGTCTTTAAAGTCTCAGGGACGCGCAGACAGATGCCCAGAGATGCTCTAGAAGGCAGCCCCTCCTGAGGGGTGTGGTCCGTCATCCGTGGCGTGAGCACGTCTCTAGCGTGTACTCTGCATTAGGTGTGTGAACCCAGTTGCATTCTGAATGCTTTATAATTTTTGTGTTTCATGCAATTTTTGTTTATAGTCTATAAATGTGCTTTTCAGTTTGCTTTTTTTTCTTTCTTTGAATTCTGGCGCTATAGAAAGCATGTCACATTTTGCAGTTCTGAAAAATCAAAGGGCACGTTTGAGAAGTGTTAGCGTGAATGTATTTCTGTACACGGTGTGTATGTGTGTTCACGTGGCTGTGCTGCATCTCTGGCCATGGGTCTCGGACGCAGGTAACAAGCGCCCGTGTGTAGCCGCGTTGTCCCGTGCAGCGCGTATGGCATCAGCGCGGTCTGTGCCCTGAATGTGTTTAAACTGTTGGTGCAAACGTTCGTGCCACAACTCACGTCTCTTTCCCGTTGCAGTTGAGTGCACACTTGTCAGAGTGTGTCAATGCCCCCAGCACCTGTAGTTTTAAGCGTTATGGCTGCGTTTTTCAGGTCAGTATCCAACATTTGTCTTCCGGTCACTGGCATTCTGCACTGAGAAAAAGTTGCTATATTACAGGTTAACATGCAAGTTCTGGACTCTTCTGGTCTTTGTCACAGACGGCGAGCACCCCGTGCAGCAGGCGTGGGCACTTGCTTCCCAGGCTGCAGATGGACCCTCCACTGAGGGACGGGTCAGCTCGCTGGCCTCAGAAGAGGCTACTTCAAACCAGCAATGAGAGTTTGGGGGTTTCCAGGGAAATTGTTATGGAAAATCTATATTATTTGCATATAAGTAAACACCTGGCTGGACACAGCTCCCCAGTGTGTGCCAGGTCCACTTTTCGAGAGCACCTGAGCTAATGGCCGCAGACCGGAGCCCGGCCCCAGGGACAGCGTCGTCCAGACCAGCCTCCAGCCCCCCGTGCGGTGGGAGAAGCTCTCTGCTTGGTCTATCTGTTGATTATTTTCCCCCCAACAATCTGAAACTTCTAGAGAGTTTTAACTGAGTTCTCATTTAAATGTTTATCTTCATTTTAAAGTATCAAAGGGAAGTGTATCTTGCAAGCACAGTATTTTCTATTTCATTTGTGTCTCATGAGTACATGATTACGGAATCAATGTAAAGCGTTGGCATCTTAGCAGTTTCCTGGAAAGTGGAAAGGTTGAGAATGACAGCAGCATTTCCCCTTGCTTTAGTCTTTAATGAGACTGGGCCTTCACCACTGTGACGTCTGATGTAGCACCATTCATCCTCTGTGTATGTGTATATATATGTTTATATATGTCAACACTTATATCAACATATATATATATGACTAGTCTATGTACAGAGTATATATTTTGGAGATCATGAAAATACTTTGTGTGGCTGCTTAATTCTCTGCTGTCAGGACAAATTCTATTTTTATCCCCATCACATCCTTCAACATATGTGGTTGTTATGGTGTAAAATGGTCTCCATCTTACGTACTCTGTAGAATTTCTGTGTTTTGTACGTAACTTTCTGGGTATGTTGCCAGGGTGAATAGCAGTCCATCTTGGATACAGTGTGTTTGAGCCCACACGTCACTACCCCAGTCAGTTACTTTGAATAGTAATTTAATGACATTTCACATTTTTATCAGTATCTTGCTGTAATTGCAGGAACCTTAAAGTATCTGTTCAAAATGCTAAAGGAAGCCAGCTGCCGGCTGGGGCGGCGTGGCTGGCATGAGGGCAAGTGACAGCCACTGCGGAGCCACCCCTCACGCCGGCCACAGCCTGCCCCTCTGGCCAGCACCCTCTCACGGATGGAGGTGGTCATAGAGTGATGGCTGGATGTTTTAGGGGCGTGAATTGGCTTAATGCTTTGTGTCTTTCTTCTTCCAGGGAACAAACCAGCAGATTAAGGCACACGAGGCCAGCTCTGCAGTGCAGCACGTGAACTTGCTGAAAGAGTGGAGTAATTCTCTGGAGAAGAAGGTACACAGTCTGCCTCCGGCTCTCTCTCCCTGCCTGCCTCTCGCACGCGCACATGTGCACGTATCCCCCCCCACCCCCCGATTGCTTTTGATTGTCTCTGTGAATAGAATTTCCCTGGAGGACAGCCCCTTCCTACCTTGACTAGGTCTGTTTGGGGGAGCATAGTCTCACTAGGGGAGAGCCCCTGGTCTTTTGGGGGGCACAGTCTCACTGGCCCACAAAGCCCACTCTGTTTGGGGTGCAGCCCCTGGTCTGTGTGGACACAAACTCCCGAGGGCCTGGCCACATCCTCTCGTTCCGCTGCCGGTGCCATTGCAGCAGCAGACTGGAGCAGCTCCAGCAGAGACCTGTGACCCGCACAGCCCAGAATACTTCCGTCCAACTCTTTACAAAGTTGGCCAGTCGGACACCCAGTGCACTGTTCATCATTCTAGTATTCTGTTATCCTGGTGGGAGTCCTGGAGGCACAAGCACAGTTTGGCTCCACGGATGGTACTGTGGGAGAGAGGACCTAGTCGTCTGTAAAGACGTGCAGACCAGGGGACCCCACGGACGCAGTTCTCTGGTTATTGTTCTTAAGTCAGAACTGACTCCGAGCTGACCGTAAAGTCACATGGGAGGAGACTGCCAGCTTCCTCACGTGGAGCAGTTGGTGGCTTCGACACCAGCCTTTGGGCTGGTAACACACATCCCTCCCACGAGGCCACCAGCACTCTCTTGGAGAAGTTCCACGTGGCCCTTATGAGTCAGAGTTGACTCAACAGTACAGTCATTCCCTAGATGCCATCAAAGTGATTGGGACTCTTACCCCCACTGGGTGTTTAGGGCTGTAAATCTTACAGGCAGGAGACTGCCCATCCTCCTCGGAGAAGCAGCTGGTTGTTTGGAACCCCAGCGATGCACAGCCTTTTGGGGAGGAGCACAGTCCGCTAGAGACTGTGCCTGGGGAGCTCCCCACGGTGGTGATGCATGGCAGTGACAGTTACACCGCAGCGATAGCTGCTGTGGATGGGGATGGGCCTGCCTTTCTGCAGAACAGTTACTCCTTTGGAAGAAGAACCTACTATTTTTGTAGAAATCATTTTCTCTTTTCTTGCTTAGATAGTGATTAAAAGAATAATAATAATGAAAAAAATACCCCCAAAAACAAAGTTTGCCAAGCTCTCCCCTGGACGGTGGCGGAAGCTGAGTGCTTTCGGTACTTTGTCTTTTGAGAGAAGCTACATCCGTCAGTAGTTTGGACTATGGCGTTTGCAAGCTGGCCTACCGTTCGGTGCCCTGCAGGACCCCTTGCTGGGCAGCACCCCTGCGCAGCTTGTTTGCACAGAGAAGGGGCCCCCGCCCACCGCTGCACCTCTTACCAGAGGAGTCAATTCTGCGGTACTTTAGTCCACTGGGTCAGCTTCTCACAGGCAAAGGGCTGAAACCTCTGAACCTGAGCGTCGTTAGAGAATCTCCCACTGTGGATTATTTCCGGAAATAAAAACAGTTCTGTATTCAGTGAACAGATAATGAGAATCTGCACGTGTGCACACACAGTGACACATGCTGAGGGGCAGGGGCACAGAGACGCACCACGGGCACAAATGGCCGCATTTTCTGAAGATTTCGAAGGTCTTGTTTTGAGTTTAAATCCAGGCAATTAAAAATTTAAACATACTTGAAAAAAAAGCTGCTTTGGAGTTGTCTAAATTAAGATATTTAATCAAGTGATTATCATAAGATCTGACATAAAAAATCATTTAGTACAAATGCTTGAGTTGAGAAGGAATTAAAAATTGGTGTGTTATATATTTATATTATGTTGTTGCTGTGTGTGCCACCCAGTTGGAACTGACTCGTAGCTGACCCTCCAGTGGGTTTTCAGAGGCAGTTAATTGCACGGGAAGAAATTACCCATCCTTCTCCCGCAGGATAGCTGGTGGATTGGAAGCGAGTAACATTAGCGTTGTAGTGCAGTTTCTTACCACGAAGCCACCAGAGCTTACACACACACACACACGAATGGAGCAAAAGAAGGCTTTTTTTTTTATTTTCCCCGTTCAACAGTGAAATATATCATCATGATTTTCTTGAAATCTGATTGCAGGGTTACACCTGAGTTGTATGTGTTTACCTTGAACACTATCCCCCCCCACACACACACTTTTTGAAGAACATCTTGATATTGGCTTTTAAGAGCCATAGACTGACATCTCCAGGCTTCCTGCCCCTCGTGGTGCTGTGTTTATCACAGACCTTACTTACGTGTGAGGCCTTACCTGGGCCCAGGCCCCCTGGGGATGTGTCACCTAGCAAGTTGTGGTCCAGGCATCTGGAGTGCAGTGGACAGCATACTGGTCCATCTGTCTGGGCGTGTCTGATGGACTCTGTTCATCTCATCACTTTTGCTTTGAGGCCTTTCCCCCACTCAGAGTGAGTGAATGGTCTCACTGGAAACCCTAGACATCCAGGTGCCGGGCGCATTTACTCATTGACCACGCTGGCACGGAAATGGCCAGAGTGCAGGCAGGGGATCTGTGGGCACAGGGGCCTCAGGGCTTCGGAAGACTTTCCCCTGGAGTATCACTTGGAGATTTACTCTGATGTCCATCGACATGTGTCCCCATATGGGCATAGGGCCAGTTCATCTCCGTGCAGCCTGGTCTGTGATCTTGAGACCAGCTTTCCCCTCACTGGGCCCATAGGAGGGTAACAGTGTGGTGATACTAAATGTCCTGACATGTCCATGAAGTCTCTGTCCCTTAAAGTATCCACGAGCTGAGGGAGCTCTGGTGGCCTAGTGGCAAGAAACTACACTGCAATCTCAGAGGTATGTAGTTTAAGTCCATCAAATCCTGTGCTGGAGGAGGAGGGGCAATCTCCTCCTGTACCAGTCGGATCCGATTTGATGGTACACACACAAAAAATAATAAAATAATTTAAAAAAAAAAAGTATCCATAAGCTGGACTCTCTTAGGTTATTTTGTTCACTGTGACAGAAGTAGAATGTTTGCATTAGCTGGGGAGGTCTGATTACGGTACTTACGGTTCAGCTAAGGAAGCTGTCCTGAAATCTTGGCAGAGGAACACGGCTCTTGGTTTTCGGGAATTGTGAAGGGAAGTTCCCACAGCCAAAGGGCTATGTGAGAGTGTCCTCAGGGAACGGCCCTGTGTGTGGACTGAGAGAATCCCTGGATGGAAAACCTAAGAGCCAGAGGTCCCCTTTGCAAGTGCTTCGCAGATGTGACTCCAGGCATTCTGGAGACACATCTGCCAGGTGGATTTCTCTGTACTTGCGGTGTTTATCTCAGAGGTGTGGAGCAGCGCTGGGCACCCAGCAGCCGTGCTGAGCTTAAAATGGTCCCAAGACAAGACATGTGTGTCTTCCTCCACACACAGGGCTCTGCTGCTTCTCAGGTGCTTGAATTGTCTCAGAAATGAACGTTGACAGCGTTTCTGGCAGGCTAAGATTGTCCCTCCAAAGGGCTGGTGGGTGTGGTGTCTCAGGAATGTGAGGCTGGAATCTCGGAATTCTGTGTGAATTGTAACCTTAAGCATAAAGGTGGCACATGGACCTCCTCCTGGGTCCAAACAAGATCATTGCTGATGGACATTTCAGATACTCTGTTCAAGGCAGGAAACTCGCTTTTTGCTGAGGAAAGTCCTGGAAAAGCGGGTCCTCTTGTGTGTCTGCCTCTCAGGCCCCATACTCCTTCCTAAATGCTTGTTACAGCTCCCCAGTGCCATACCCCAGCATGGCTGGCCTCAGCAGATGCGCATCATGCGTGGAAGGGGCCCTGTCTGGAGGCAGGCTGCTCTTTGCACAGCAGACAGCTGGACTAGGTTCTCTCTGCAGCAGTTTTATCCCGAGCTGCCCCGAGGGTCTGGAGTCCCCTTGTTAGAAGAGCCGTCAAGGCGGAGTCAGCTCCTCGGACTCTACAGTGGCTGTCCTCCAGGCCACAGCGCCAGAGGACCTCTATTCTGGAATGTCAGCACATCCTCTGTAGGAGTCTTGTGCAAATGAGGTTTGCAAGAGTGTCCCCCACCTCTCCCCCTACCCTTTTCAGACCGTGTGATGTGGCCTTGGGAACGGATTGTTTTGTAGAATATTCCGAGTCAGAAGTGGGTTTGGAAGTGTCCACTCTGTGTGTCCATCCTGTAGCCTAGTGTGGGTACTCAGCTGAAGGCCAGGGTGTGGGCACCACAGGTAAATGCCAGGTGCAGGTGTTAGGGCATTACAGGTGGGACCCTGCCACAGGCACATGTCTCCAGCACTAAAGGGGTTACAGGTGAACCCCGTGATACAGGTGTGCGGTGACCACGGTGGGGATGGCAGTGCACGTGGACGCTGTGGGGCTTTTGTTGCAGCGGCTCCCAGGCTCCTGAGAACTCTCTGCCTCACTGACAGGTTCTTGTTCCCACCTGCAGACTCACCTCTTGTGAGGGCTTCCCAGAATTCAGGGTGTGGCCTTTGGGGATTGAGAAATAGCTCAGCACATTACAACCAACAGGCCTTTTCCAAAAGGGAAGTGGAGTGAATTGATTTGGGCAGGTGCGGTTTGGAAAACCTGTTCCTCAGGTGCACACGCACAGAGGGGTGAGGTGTCTCTTGCTACGTTCCTTGGTGAGTTAGGAAGCTGCTTCTCGTGAAAAGGGTACTGTTCTCAGGGCAGAGTTGAAGCATCCCGTTCCTCCTGACCTGCCCCCAGCTACCACTTCATCTCCCCTCATTACTGGGATGGGTTCTGAGAGGCGCCATCAGGCCCCCCCATCACCCCCCCCCCGCCCGCTTCACTTCCTGCTGGAGGAAGGCTTTTCCAGGAACTCCCGCAGGGAGCTAACCGAAGGGCTCTGTTACAGTGATGTAACTCCTGTCATTAAAGTCGCTGATGAGTGTGGAGCCCGCGTTCTCAGGTTCATTGGAGAATTCCTTTGCAGGTTTCCTTGCTGCAGAACGAAAGTGTCGAGAAGAATAAGAGCATCCAGAGTTTGCACAATCAGATCTGTAGCTTTGAAATTGAAATCGAGCGGCAGAAGGAAATGCTGCGGAATAACGAATCCAAAATACTTCACCTACAGGTGAGACTTCCTGCACTCGGGGCTGCCACCTCCCAAGGTCTCCCTTACGATGGGGACGGGGCCGGGGTCGTGGGGAGAGTCACCTGCGGAAGCATGGGGTCTGCACAGCCGTTGCTCTGTTGTCGCCCTGTGGCCAGCGGTATCTGGCAGGTGGGAAGGGACGATGCTGTGGGGGGCACGGAGCACCCCTGGGTGCTGTGAGGCAGACTCGTCCATTTGTCTGTCCTCACCCTCTCACCACGGCCTCATTAGAACCTCACTGGCCCTGGAGAAGGCTTCGCTTTCATTCTCTACCATGCCCAGAGCATAGGGTACAGCCGGTGCCTGCAGCATGAGGGTGGGGCCACCCCTGCTGGTCTAACAGATAGTGCCACATGTGGGCTGTGCTCTGGAGATGCCACGAGAGGGGCTTCCACAGCCTTGCAGAGTGTGGCCGTGGGACTGACGAGAGCACATTCTCTGACGAGGGTTTATTTATAGGGAGCACATCCACCTTGCTTCCTGAATTCTTTTCTAGTAACATCCCACAAGTCCCTCTAAGGCTTCTTTTTCTGGAAAGACTGTGGCAGCTGAGGTGTAGCCCACTTTTGAGGAAGGAAACTGGGTGCTGCATTTTGCAGAGGGCGTGGTTTTGGTCTGCATTCTGCCTTGGGTCTGCCCTGTGAAACAGATTGCTGCTTGGAAAACAGCACGTTCTCACATGGTGTGTTGGAAGACTCCTTTCCAGTCGGTTGGGTCCTGTTTCTGGTTGTGTGTGTGTGTGCGCACACTCGCGCACTTGTGTGACATTTGGTGGTGCCCTGCCTGTGAGCACAAGAGGTCTCATCTCAGGCACCAGGTCCTGTTGGTGGGCTCAGTCGTGCCCACACACCTCCACACCTAGAGCTCCATGGACACCCCGGCATGGAGGGGCCACTTCTTATCACCCTTTTCTACTTCAAGGGTTTCCATCAGTCTGGTTAGAAGATGCTCCAGTCACGTCCTTGTTCATTACAGTGTCGGCTGTTCTTACGATCCTTCATGCTGGCACCAGAGTGTAGTGATGCCACATACTGAGATCAGACCCAGCCTGGGCCTGCAGCGTCCTCTCAGTCTCTGCTGTATGTGAGCCTGTCGATGGAGTCACGATGTGAGGTCATCTCCCTGAGGGTCTTCGTTTTCACCGACCCTCTACCACACATGGGGAACCTGGTGGACTCGTGGTGAGGAGGCACACTGCCACCCAGGAAGCAAGCAGTTCAAATCCACCACATACTACAGGAGGGAAAGATGGACAGCCTCCTCCCGTGCAGTGTTCGGCCTCTGAAAACCCTGTGGCTTCGTACTCGACAGCACACAACAACGACCACTGAGCATGGTGTCGTTTACATGTCTGAACTGTGTGAGATGAAGTTTCTCCATCTGTGCCTCTAAGGAGCACTCAGGTTGCACTTCGTCCAAGACAGATTTGTGTTCTGTTTGCAGTCCTGGGTGTCTTCAGCAGTCTTCGCCGTCACTAAGATGCTAAGGCATCAGTTCCTTGATTGGCCTTGTTCATTGTCCTGCTCTTATATGTATGAGGCAGTTGAAAATACCGTGGCTTGGGTCAGGCACACCTTAGTCCTCAAAGTGAAATTTTGCTCTTTCGAACTTTAAAGAGGTCTTTGGCAGCAGATTTGCCCTTTGCAGTATGCTGTCTGATTTCTGTGTGTGTGTGTGTACACGTGTGTACTGTCATATCGGATCCGACTGGCACAAGAGGAGATTGCCCGTCCTTCTCCAGCGGAGCATCAGTGGATTCAAACCATGTACCTTCAAGACTGCAGTGCTTTTTCTGTCTGATTTCTTGACTGCTGCTTCCGTGGGTGTTGATTATGGATCAGAGTAAAATGCAGTGTTTGACAAATTCAGTCTTTTCTCTGTTCCTCATGTTATTTATTGGACCAGTTGTGAGGATTTTTGTTGTTCTTATGTTGATATAATCGATACTGAAGGCTATAACTTTGAACTTCATCATTAAGTGCTTCAAGTCTTTGTCATTTTCTGCATGCAGCATTGTGTCATCCACATATCCTAGGTTAAGTCTTTTCCAGTCCTGATGGTGCATTCTTTGTGTATTTCCATTTCTCAGATTAAATGGAAAATTCCAAATCATTGCTTTTGGGTTGGCACTGACTCGTGTCTGACCCGCCATTGGGTGTCCGAGGCTGTGAACTAGAGAGGAGTGCTTATTTCTCCTTCTCACAGCCAGTGGACTTGAACCACCAGACAGGCATGACTATAGCACTGGAACTCCCTGTGGACCAGCCACCAGAGCTCCCACAGATAAGTGAGGGACAGGATGCATCCCTGACGTACATCTTTCCTCTGTCTCATTGCTCTGCTTGAACTTCCTCTGGATTTATGGGCAGGTTTTACATGAGCACAGTTAGGTGTCTTGGAATTCTCATTCTTTGCAATAATATCCACAGTCCACTTCAGGTGCACATAGTGGAATACTTTGCTCTCAGCAGTTGGCAGAAAAAGCAAGGCACCAGGAATTGACGGCATACAAATTGACACATTTCGGCAAACAGATGTAGCCCAGATGGGCTCACCAGGTCATGCCAAGAAATCTGGAGGACAACCACCTGGCCAATGGACTGGAAGAGATCCATATTTATTCTCATTCCAAAAAAAAGGTGATCTGACATATTGTGGAAATTATCAGACAATAGAATTAATATCGCATGCAAGCAAGATCCTGATGAAGAAATTACCCAAAAACAACTGGTACAGCATATCAACAGAGAACTGCCATATGTGCAGACTGGATTTAGAAGAGGCTCTCGTACTCGGATATTATAGCCAAAGTTAGATGGATCTTGGCTGAAAGCAGAGAGTATCAGAGGAATGTTTATCTGTGTTTAATTGACTAGGTAAAGGCATTTGACTGTGTGGATCACAAACAAACTGTAGCTAGCTCTGAGAAGAATGGTAATCCAAGAACACAGAGCAAGGAAACACTACATGGTTGAAAATCAGGAAAGATGTACACCAGGAATGCATCCTTTTCATTCTATATACAGAACAGATTATCCAGGAGGCTGGGCTCTATGAGAAGAATGTGGCATCAGGATTGGAGGAAGACTCATCAACAACCTGGCTTATACAGATAACACAATTTCCTACAGAAGATCAAAGACTGCAGTCTTCAATATGGATTGAAGCTCAACATCAAGAAAGCAAAGATTCTCAGCAGTGGGCTCATTGGCAGCTTCATGATAGATGGTGAAGAGGTTGAGACTGTTAACAGCTTCAGTTTGCTCGGCTCCACAATCAACACTTTTGGTACCAGCAGCCAGGAAATCAAAAGACAAATTGCATTGGGAAAATCTGCTGTCAGGAACTTTGCCAGAGTCCTGAAGAGCAGTGATGTCAGTCTAGAGACTAAGGTGCACCTGATCTAGGCCATAGTCTTCATAATGACTTGCTGTGCATCAGAGAGCTGGACAGTGACTAAGGATGATAGAAGAATTGATGCCTTTGAGTTGTGGTGCTGGAGAGAGTATTGAACATACCGTGGGCTGCTGAGACAACAAACAGGTCCATCCTGGAGAGGGTGAAACTAGGTTCCTCCTTGGGGGCAAGGATTCTGAAGTTCCATACTTTGAGCATGTTGCAAGGAGGGACCTGTCCTCGGAGAGGGACGTCATGCTTGGAAAGGTAGAGGGACAGTGCAGGAGAGGAGACCCTGGATGAGATTGACTCTGTGACTGGGGTAATGAGGCAGGTGTGTCAGAGACAGTGAAGTAGGCTCAGGATAGAGCAAGTTTCAGAGCTGTTGTGCACAGTGTTGCTATGAGTTGGAGTAGATGGAACAGCACACAACAGCAACAGCAGGCACTAAAATCCAGGTAAATATCTTCTTTTTTTAAAAAAATTTTTTTAATTTTTATTTTTATTATTTTTGTGTGAGTGTACCGTCAAATCAGATCTGACTGGTACAGGAGGAGATTGTCCCTCCTTCCCCGGCAGAGCATCTGGTGGATTTGAACCGTGCGCCTCTGGGATTGTAGTTGCAGCTCCTTACCACTAGGCCACCAGAGCTCCCCTAGGTAAATAGCTTCTTGATATAGTCTACCTCCAGCCAAGATCGTCATACTTTTCATTAACCTGCCTCTTCTGGTTAGCGTCCATCGCAGCTCAGTTACGGTGTCCCTGCACCAAAGTTACCACCGCAGGACCAGGCATGTCATTGAAGACACTTTTGGTGCATGTCTTTTTTAATACACTGACATCATCCCCAGGAAGTAGATTTTGTGGATTAACTGAATACCTCTCTAGCCATATGTACTTGTTTAAAGAGAAAACAGGGTTGCAGTCTCCAGAACTGGGTCTCAGAGAAGCCTTCCGCTTCCTGAGTGGTAGTAGCTGGCCGGAGTCTGTTCGTGAGGACAAGGGTGCTACGCTTTACCCCAGAGCAGCCACCGAACACATGTGTCTGTGCCTTGTGTTATTAACAGCCAGCAAAGGTGACGAAACCTGTGTGTTTAAAAATAGAGTCTGAAAGGAGAAGTGTGTAAGGTGGCAGGCTGTGGGCCTGTGCCTCCATGGTCCCATTGTGCCCAGCTGGACCCCAGCTGACAGGCCGCCTCCAGGGGTGGGGCTGCTGTGAGCTCCCTCACTGTCACACACTAACAACGTTAGAGGGTCCTGGGTCCTGGGAAAGTGTTTTTGTAGTCATAGTGTAGATGAGCTGGGGGTTGAGTGGAGGAGGCTGGACTGAGGGATGGGCCCTGCTTTCCCGCAAGGCCTCTGCCACCTGCCAGCCCTTCAGGGGCAGCTGTCCTTCCTGGGACCAGGGTGGAGTTCTGGGGGGGGCGGTTCCTCAGACAACAGGGGCTGGAGGAGGAAGTGCTTGCTGTCTGCCCTGTCTGGTGGGTCAGAAGACACAGGCCTTATTTCCTGGGAGGAAGGTCGCACAGGCCTGGCCTCGGCTCTTGGACTTCAGACCCCGAGCGAGCCCCGCACTTGGGGTGACGTCTCTGTGACTCAGCTTCCCCTCTGGTCTCCCCAAGATTTCTGGAGATGAACTCAGGGAGTGTGAGTTCTGGAAGCTGAAGAGGTGCTGAGAGGAGACAGGAGAGTGAAGATGGTCTGTGAGCAGATGGCAGTCCTGACCCCTGCACTAGGATGGCTGGGGCATCCCGAGACCATCACTGTGGGTGGGCGTCCTCCGTCACTGTGGCCCTGGACACCCCTATGGGACACTCTCACTGGAGCTCTCCTGCCCTGTGCCTTTTCCCCTACTTGCATCCAAGACCTAACTGCTTTTCCCTTCCTCTCACCTTGAACTTGGCAGCGAGTGATAGACAGCCAAGCAGAGAAACTGAAAGAACTGGACAAGGAGATCCGTCCCTTCCGGCAGAACTGGGAGGAGGCCGACAGCATGAAGAGCAGCGTGGAGTCCCTGCAGAACAGAGTGACGGAGCTGGAGAGCGTGGACAAGAGTGCAGGGCAGGCCGCACGCAACACAGGTGAGGGAGGGAAGAGGCTGGGCTGTGAGGGACAGGGCATGGCTGTGAGGGACAAGACTGTGAGGGATAAGACGGGGCTCTTGAGGGACAGCATAAAGTACAGGATGAAGAATGGGGTGAGGGGCGTGACAGGGCTCTGAGGGACGAGGTGAAATACTGTGAGGAGCAGACCAGAGCAGTGAGAAAGAGGGTGGGGAGCTAGGCTGGGCTGTGAGGAACGAGCCAGATGGTTGATGGTTGACAGAGTTGTGCCGGCTCCAGCAGGTCACGTGATGGGGCTGGAAGGCCGTTGGGTGTGGCCTGCATCAGAAGCTGCTGTGAGCTCCAGCAGACCCTCAGGTGACTGCAGCTGGTCCTCAGGTGACTGCAGCAGACCCTTGGGTGACCTCAGTGGCCCACGGGTGGTTCTAGCAGCCCTCCGGTGACTGCAGCTGGCCCTCGGGTGGCTCCAACAGCCCTCGGGTGACTGTAGGCTGCCCTCGGGTGGCTCCAGCAGCCCTTGGGTGGTTTTAGTAGCCCTCCGGTGACTGCAGCTGGCCCTCGGGTGGCTCCAGCTGGCCCTCGGGTGGCTCCAGTGGGCCCTCGGGTGGCTCCAGTGGGCCCTCGGGTGGCTCCAGCTGGCCCTTGGGTGGCTCCAGCGGGCCCTCGGTGGCTCCAGCGGGCCCTCGGGTGGTTCCAGCAGCCTTCTGGTGACTGTAGGCTGCCCTCGGGTGGCTCCAGCGGGCCCTCGGGTGGCTCCAGTGGGCCCTCGGGTGGCTCCAACGGACCCTCAGGTGGCTCCAGCGGGCCCTTGGGTGGCTCCAGCAGCCCTCAGGTGACTGTAGGCTGCCCTCAGGTGGCTCCAGCGGGCCCTCGGGTGGCTCCAGTGGGCCCTCAAGTGGCACACTGACTGCAGGACCTGTTGCAGTCCCCCAATAAAGACAGAAACACGTCCCTTTGAGAGTGTCCTCTCCCAGTCAGGGAGTGTGTCTCAGGAGCCCCCCAGGTGGACAGCAGACGCTGACCTGTCTGTAGGTTCTACATCCCCTGCCCTGTCCACTCATGGGAGGAGGACAGACTCGGAGCACACGGGTCTGGGGTGAGGCCGACAGGGCAGGGTGGATGCAGCATTGGCTCAGCTGCAGAGGCCTCTGGGAAGTCGCCATCCAGGAGTCCAGGGTGGGAGAAGGGCTGCCATCTTGGCCGTCCGCAGACTCCTGGGTAGGTGTCCTGTGACCATCGTCCCCATCAGTTGTCTCCTGGCCCTCGGGTCTGCCGGTTCACGTCCAGGCTCTGGCCTGCCTAACTGCCCTCCGCCCTCACCGGCAGGCCTGCTGGAGTCCCAGCTCAGCCGCCACGACCAGATGCTGAGCGTCCACGACATCCGCCTGGCCGATATGGACCTGCGCTTCCAGGTGCTGGAGACCGCCAGCTACAACGGAGTGCTCATCTGGAAAATCCGCGACTACAAGCGACGGAAGCAGGAGGCGGTCATGGGCAAGACGCTGTCCCTCTACAGCCAGCCCTTCTACACCGGCTACTTTGGCTACAAGATGTGTGCCCGGGTCTACCTGAACGGGGACGGGATGGGCAAGGGGACGCACTTGTCTCTGTTTTTTGTCATCATGCGTGGAGAGTATGACGCCCTGCTGCCCTGGCCCTTCAAGCAGAAGGTGACCCTCATGCTAATGGACCAGGGCTCCTCTCGGCGCCACCTGGGGGACGCTTTCAAGCCCGACCCCAACAGCAGCAGCTTCAAGAAACCCACCGGGGAGATGAACATCGCCTCCGGCTGCCCAGTCTTCGTGGCCCAAACTGTTCTAGAAAATGGGACATATATTAAAGATGATACCATTTTTATTAAAGTGATAGTGGATACTTCTGACCTGCCCGACCCCTGACACGTTGCCGGGGAGCTGAATCCGCAGAAGGTAACTCCGCTGGGGGGGTTGAACCGGTCTGTCCTCAGAGGGGAGGTCCTGGCGTTCAGAAAGGACCTTGTGGAATGACAGAACGGCAGAAGGCGGCCCACCCGGCCCAGGGGCGCCCACGTCCACACCATCTTCACATGTTTGTATAGACTTAGCCACGCTCGACTCTGAAGACCCACCTGTCCTCCACTGAGGCCAGGGTCCCCATCAGAGGAGGCTCTCATTTCCATTTCTAAAGATCTAGTTAATTAAGGTGGAAAACATATATATTACCCAAAAAGAAACCAGATTTTATTTTCTTCCTTAAACTTGAACACCAACAAAATAAGAAAAACAAAAAAAAAAAAAACCCATACAAACGCGTGGGATAGCCGGACATGTCAGCATGTTAAGTCAAAGAAGAATTTATGAAGTCATTATGCAGTTCGGATATATTCACCCTAAAAGTCAGGAGTGCAATCTTGTTTGAAATATAGTATATTGTCTATTTTTAAGGCCTCACCTGGTCTCTGTTTTAATAATTTGTTTGTCAGAAGACCCAGAAGTACACCTCGGTCTTTCTTTTTTTTTTTTTTTTTTTTTTAAGTCTCTAAATTCAGAATCATTTTTTTTTAATTTGAAGTTCTACAGATAATTGTTAATGGCAAACATTTTAAAACGTTGATAGACTGCTATTTCTCGGAAGAAAACTGTAAAATATCAAACACTGGTTATCACTTGTGATAGGAAAGAGAATATATTCAATCTGTTGTTATTTCTCGTTAGAAATGTAAACCTTCAATCTCTGTTGTAGTTAATGACACTACTTCAAAATTATTACGAGAGGGAAATTGCTCATGGATGCTGTGCATCATGTCAGATTTATAATTGTTTTCACCCTAAAATAGGGCATTAGTTGAACTTTGGAGTTCTAAACAAAAAGCCTGTAGGTTTTTAAAATTCTGCCCCACTTGTCCGATGCGCTCTCTTGCTGCCCGCCCAGACCCTTCCACGCGGTGGCCGGGGGACCGCCAGGAGGCCACAGCGGGCTCACCCCGTCCTGGTACGGAGCTGGCAGGGATCCGGTGGCGACATTTCTCCGTAGAGATGGCGGCATCCCTGTCTGTGCCTTAGACGTGACATGCTGCTCCTCGCCCCTGGGTTTGTGTTCCTTGTCACTCTAGACTCCCCTGCACCGCTGAATTGTCACAGATTCCAAATCGCGAGGCCCCACACGTGAGCCTGGCCACCCCCCAAAGGCTGATGTGGACAGGAAGCGGTACCCCCCGCCTGGCCACCCCAGGCCGTGGATGCCCCCCTGCTGGATGCGGAGTCCCCTGAGCATTCCGGAGACCCTGCCCTGGGGCTGCCCGGGTCGCCCGCGGCCCCCAGCGCCCCCCGGCCCGCGCCCCCCAGCGGCACCGTCTCAACTCTGTTTACTTTGCCATGGTCCAACTGTGATCGGAGTGTGCGGCCCTAGTCCCTCCCGCTATGCACCACGCTCTCTGGGTGCTCTCTACACTGATGGGTGCTACACCTGATGGGTGCTCCCGGCAAACACCGTGCGCGAACCACCGCATCTGTGCCACTCGCTCAAAGGCGCGCCGCGATCGGCCAGGCGGCCGCGCCCCCACTGCCTGCCCCCGGGCCCCCACCTCGTCGCGCGGGACAGCTGGGCTGGTGCCCCGATGGCCCACGCGTCTCTGGTGCTGCCACCTGTCCTGGGTGTGCCTTCGCCCCAGTGCCTGCTGGAGGCGCCCCCGCCGCGTCCATCCTCGCCCGTCCTGGCTCCGCCGTGGTCCTGTGGTAATGTGCTTGCTGGTCTCCATTCTCCTCTCTCCACGCTGCTTGGGGGTGAGTTCATGTCCCCCGCCGCCCTCCCAAGTCCTGAGTCTTGTCACCATTCACAGGAAGGACTTCCGCAGACTTGGTGGGGACTGGTGGTCCCTCAAAAGAGTGCTGGCCCACACCCTCCGCCTGCCCGGGCTCTTCCCACAGGCCTGAGGGCTACCTGGCTGTCCCCTTCCTCCCATGTCCCAGGGGGCTTCCTGCCTGTGACTCCCATCCCCTTTACAAAAAGGCCCATATGGTTAAAAACATAGACAACCGTTCAGGCCTGGAGAAAAATTTTCCCTTCCCTGGGTTTAGAACCCAGTTGGGCATCTGCCTCCTGGGCGTGTCCCCTTTGAGCATCCCTCCCAGCTGACCCCAGCCGAGCGACAGAGGCAGCACTGTCTTGGGGTGGGGTCAGTGCGTCCACCCGTGTCCACTGGGAATAGAAGATAGTGCATTCAGCTGTGCTCCTGTGGGGTAGAAGGTGGTGTGTCCAGCTGTGTCCTGTGGGATGGGGACAGTGTCCAGCGGTGTTCACTCTGGATAGGAAGTACATCCAGCTGTGTCCCGTGGGATGGAGGCAGACGCTGCGTCCCTGTTTGGTGGCAGCTTCTCTCTGGGTGCTCAGGGCCTCTTGGCAGAGCAGGTCTCAGGTGGGGTGTGACGTCCATCACACCGCATCTCAGGCTGCTCTCCGAGGCCGCCTCGGTGCGTGAGGTGCTTCTACCCGCTGTTCACAGCGTGGGCTGCGTGTGCAACCTGGCTGCCTCTTCGTGGAACCAGCCCCCCTCCCAGCCTCCCAGCAGCCAGAGAGGTGCAGGCTCAGGTGTGTGGGCCTGTGTTCACTCTGCCCGCTGACCATGGTGCCAGCGTGCCCACGGGGCGCACGGCCACACTGAGCTGACGGCGTGCACCTAGGCCTGCACTGGGGCATGAAGAAGCCGTCCCTCCACCCTGAACTCGCCGTGCCCCTCCTCACTGTGACCACATGAGGGTGACCCCAGTCTCCTCATGTCCAGCGCGGCCCCTAAACCTAATGTCTCCCCAGCCTGAGTCTGTGCCCACTCTGGGGGTTCAGGCACAGGCTTGGAGAGGAACACTGTCTGAACCAAGGGGTAGGCCCCTGCCGGGGGGGGGGGGCCCAGTACCCAGAAGACACAGCCCAGGGCCCTTTTCCAAGTTGACCTAGTTCCCCCAAGGCCAGGAGTCGTCCAGGCGCTGACGTGTTGGAAGTGGTTTGGTGCAGTCCCCGAGAGAGTCCACTGAGTGAGGAGGGTGGCTGGCATTGGTGCTGACAGGGCCCTCGGCATGGCCTGGTGCGAACGGGGCACAGCTGAGCCACCCTCTCCCCACTTTCCCTGTCCCTGCCCCCAGCTCAGTTCAGCTGTGACCCCAGGGGACTGGCTGCCAGAACCCATCCACTGTCGTGTCCTCAGCTCCTCCAGGACCCTCTGGCCTGCCCCCTGGGGTCTAGCAAGGCTAGCTGGCAGAAGGGCCCCTCCTGGGCCCACCTGGATGAAGGGGCGAGGCCCTGCTCCCTACTGGCCCCCAGCTTCCCTCGCTCTGGTCAGGGAAGTGGCCCCTCCGCCTCAGAAATGATGGGTGGCAGTGGTGTCAGGCAGGAAAGGTCAGCTCCCAGCCACTTAGGGCCTGGCGCAGCCCCAGCACAATTGGCACCTGGGACACGTGTCCACCCAGTGACGGGGCCGCCACGTGTGTGCCACGCCAGGCCCTCCACACCAGTCAGGGCCACGGACCCCAGTGGGGGCACTGTCCAGCCTCCAGCCCTCCAGATGTCCCTTCTGCACAGCCACTGGGCGCAGAGTGAGAAGCTGTTTGGCCCAAGTCATTACTAGTAGCTGTGAGAGATGGCGCTTGGAAGGTTCCAGAACACCTGCACCGTGGGCGTGCCTGCCACCCCGCCCCAGCTCTGCGCCCACGTGTCCCCTCCTCCTTGCAGGGCGTTCTGTTGACCGCCGTCCCCAGCACATCCTCACCCGGGTCCGAGCCTGCGACCAGGCCGAGCCGGGGGGCTTTGGAGGTGGGCAGGCGGGGAGGCTGACCACCATCTGAGCCCCTTGTGCGTTTCTCTCTGGCACTGAGGTGTGAGTGATAAGAGTTTCAGGGCAAACCTTCGAGGTGGGTCCCCCCAAGTCCAGGGGGTGCCCCGACACCATGACCCTTGCGCCCACCCCCGCCCCCAGCTGCTGTCTTCAGAGCACATCTTTTGAACTTTCTCAGTGAAAAAGGCTGACGTCCGGGCTCGCTGTGACTCGCGGGACCGATTTTTATACCTTAGTCCCCTTAGACAACAAACTCAATGACTTAATTGGAAAACACAAAGCCCCGTGGCTTCCAGGATTTCTGTCTGAAACAGCACCTGTGACAGGAGGGGTGGCGCCGCCCGGCCTGTGCACACCGCCAGCTGCGTCCTCGGATGGCGCACCCCCCCAGTGTTCAGTTCTCTCCACCCAAAGACCAAAGAAGGCCAGTCCCGCCCCTCACGTTCCGACCTGCCCTGTCCGAGTTGCCGTCTGTAGTCGCCATTAGCTGTGAGGCCCATCTTGACAGTCCAAGTGAATGTGACCAGTGACCGTCGCGTCCGCTCCGCTGAGAGGCACCACCGCGGCCAGAGCGAGCGACCGCAGCAATAACGGTGTTGGTAGCCACATGCCTGACTCCGACAGCATTATTACCTGGTGAATTTCTGTTTACTGTACATCCTGTGTGGTTTTATTTGGTATTTATTTGTGTTTTGAGGTCTTGCAATGTTTTTGTGTTTCTGATGCTAATAACTAAAGTTTGTAAGAGTGTAGAATGCAAAACTCTGAAATGCTAACCTGTCTATTAGAGGAAAATAAACCTGACTGAGCAGTCTGGCCTCTTCCTCCATGGCTCTCGGGGCGTCAGCAGGAGCCCCCACTCTGAAAGGCCCTTTCCCAGGGAGATTGCGGAGGAGCCCAGAGCCCTGACCCATGTTCCCGCTTCGCCCTGGGCCTGCCTGTTCCGGAGCTGGGCCTGCCTGTAGCCGCTGGCTGTCCTCAGGCGGGGGCCCTGGGTCTGGGCCCAGTCTTTGCCTGCTGCCTGGCGTCAGTCTTAACAGAAGGAGTGGTGAACCCCACAGGCCCAAGTCTGGGAAGCTGTGGAAGTGGGTGGTGGGGGAGCCATGGGAAGGGGGT